TATATAGCAGTCCTGGATATGCTTAGTCGTATCATCTGCTGTTTTCGTTCGCCGAATTCCATACGCTTACACCTATAAACCGAATGGTCTCTAATAGACGCAAACAGCGTTTAGGTTGGGATCCCAAAGGACAGTTGCAGTGAGAAGCAGCCAGTCACCAGTTAGTCAGTAAGTAGCTAGAATAGCGCGCGTAATAAGGGCACGCCAAGCTTAGCTACCAACTGCAAGAAGATGCTAAGATTGTCAACTCTATTGCTGAGAATGCATACCACAGACGGACGGACAGCTCTACTGCGAGCATGTGGTCCTGTTTTCGACGCAGCAGTTCTCCTTCTTTCTAGAGAAAGAAGACTCAGAAAGGCCAACTGATTGAATGGATAGGCTGTCTACACGAGACACGCAGAGACCGAAAAACAGAGAGGCGAATAGAGATCGCGCGTTAAAGGGTAGTGGTCCACGCGTACAGCACGGCCACTGCTTAATCAACGTTGCAACCGAGCGCTGGTATCGACGATGGTCGTACAGCGGACGGCTGAACGCCTCAAAATGCTCAACCATAACTGCGGTGCTAGCAGCTGCAATAGCAGTTATATATGAGAGAAATACAATGTACCTATAGTAGTGATTTTCAAAGGATGAGTTAACTCGTAACCGCTAACAGGCTGGCTAGCGCGGAATGAATAGCGATGACTCTTTCAGACAAGCAACGTCCGCTTGGTGGGGTGACTCGCGGTTTGCTCGGTAAGGTCAAGGTAGTAGCCGATATTAAAATTACATCAGCGACATATTTTTGCCTTCCGCTCGAGCACACCGTCTGTTAGTATCTCGAATACATACTTAGATACAAATGAAGTAATCTGGATAATAATAATTTTATTGATGCGTTAGATTGACATACACATATCAAATAACATGCCAAGTCAAAGCTGAAATATTTTTCTGAAAATATTGACTGCTGTCGGACATCGTTGAAATCGTACAAAAATAATTTTCTGCTTTTTTCCACTATGTACTGAAAAATGTCACACATGTTGCTGTGCTCCAGCTGTTTATAAAATAATCAACATCGCTAATACAAACGTTGAAACTGAAACTAAGTATAACACACTTTTTATTAACACACAAAATAATGAACTTTGTAAATAAGTTAACAGAGAATATCATTTTTATTCGTTGAGCAGAAACATTCGTAGGGCTTTGACAGCTTTACATGCTGGCCTCTATTTGATTCATAAGTTTGTACTGAAATTTTCATTAATTCGTCGGAGTAACTAGCCCAAAAAAAACGTAACGGTATGTCTCAACGTGGCCAGCGAACTAATTGGCAGGATAAATAAAAAATGTAATACGTTATTCTCGTCGTTCTTCTATTAAAATAAAAGATTATTTAAACTACTAAATATACTAGGCCGCCGTATTGACTAAATTCAGTACTTAACAACATCTGTACGCATAAACAGACCCGAACGTGCAAGCATGAGTAGAGTTCTAGATATGTTAAATGGCCTTTAAGTCATGTACCTGTTACAATGTTAGGAACTTGACGTCGGCCATATTCTAAGGTCTAACTCCTATCGACTAGTTAACAACCTAATAGAACGCCTCTCGCAGCTGGATTTGGCGAAGTGACCGCTCGACGCTCTTATACAAATAAGAATTTTACCGTATTTTCCCTACCTGAACTATGCACTGAAATGTGTTCATTGAGTAAAGCGATATCGAGATACACTGAATGCAGGAAGGTATATTTTCTATTTTTGATAATTTAAAGCAAACTTGTTTCTATATGTCTAACTTGGGAAATAGTTTGCAAAAAAGACGCATATGTTTTAACGCATATCTTGAAATTCGTTTCTCTTACCTGTTACAGATGTAGCTGCCATAAGCACAAATATCAAGGGTCGAATCGATGAAAGTACGCTATTCCTGGGAAACGATGCCAGTGTTCGTGAACTCGTGACATCTTTTGCAGCTGCGCTTTCGTTGTTTTGAAATGTTGCCACAGTCATCGTGCGCGATTGACCACCGTTATTTGATGAGGAAGAAGATATCGAGGTCTCTTGAAGTGTCGTCTCTCTGTCCAAGCACATAATCTTCTGTGGCCAGCTATAGAGCTTGGGTCGTTGTTTTTCTAAGTAGCTTTGCTGTCGACGTACGCTTTGGTTGTCATTCAGATTTGTACCCGCTGCCAACCTTGTGATGGCTGGTAATTCCGCAGTCGTTGTTGTTGTTATTGTTCTTGCCGATGTGGGGGCATCCTTTATTCCCATATTGAAGCAGGCAGATGAGCCTACCCTCTTTCTGATTTTGCCTCAATCTCGAACGGCACTTCGTGACACTCGGCCGTTATGATCGGATTTAGGGTCTTTACGCCACCGTCTACTAGAGACCGCGCACGACTTTCGACTACCAAGTACGGACTACGCATTGACTCATTTCTTCACTTTGCACTTGCTCCGCCCAGCGCATCTAGCAAACTAAAACGCACACCTCCGACGGACTATTCCGTCTGCAGCTATTAGAGCTGATGCTTGTCATATAGCACAACTATTGGCCATTTCTTATAACCAACTTACGATCACCGCGCCCTTTAGTTGTTACTTGTATCGTCCTCACGAGATCATCAACGGTATGAGACAAGGCTCTGGTAATAGTTTTTCCTGCTTACTTAAAAAAAAAAATAATCACACGCACTTCTCACGCACACGGCTACCCAGTGTACTCATGCGTTGTATATTTATTACTGCCTTTGGTGTTCAGTGCCTGGATCAATTCCTGTTGTTAGCACCAACTTCGATATTACAACAAATATGCGTTATTAAGTATTATTAAATAATAACGATGGAAATCACACTAGACGAGCAAACTCACACAGAACGACTGCTGCCGCTGCTATCAAAGAAGTCGCGACAGCCTCGACTATACTAGCGCTCGCAGCCCAAATCAGCCGTCCTGGTCGCGTTGCCGTTTTTTGTTTTTGTCTGTCTGTCTGTCGAATAGGTCAAATCGACTAGCGACGATTAACCCACTAGTTCTGTTGCCGTTAGCGTATCTGCTGTTGATGGTTACTGCCTGGCCAGCCGGAGTTACCCACTCTCTGGAAGCACACGTACATATTCACACACTCACACACACACACACACACACACACACATACACATAGACACAAACATGCCCAGCGCACAATGTCAGCGACAGATACCAATACTATCTCCACAACTGTAAAAACCCAACAAGTGCGCCTTCATTTCCAGTCTTTCTTGTCTTGTCGCTGTTGTTCTGCTAAGCTGCCACTTACGGCTGCGGCTGGCGTTGCCGTTGCCTGCGACAAACGCGCTGTTCCTTTTTCGCACCAAAAACGGCGGGTAGGCCAAGTGGTGGCGCTTCTAGATTCCACGCTTTCTCTCTCTTTTCCCTCAGTTTTCTTATACGTTCGTGAGCATTCGCTCTGCCAGCAGCGGAGGCGACGCGGCCACCCCCGGACAGCAAGTCACCGTGTACCGATCACGCTAAATAGTGATGATTCGCTCGTCTCTTTATGTGGGCATCGCGAGGCGCACACAGTGAACGAACGCTGTGAACAGACGCAGGCGCACCGAAGTCAACAGACTGAAACAACAGACAGTAATTTAGGCTTCTAGTTCAAGCCATAAAATAGGGACTAACACGTATTCTCGTCGTTCTTTATTGTTCTTTGTCGTCGTGCCACTTTCGGAACCTGGTTTATTCGTCGCTTCGTGTTGCAGCGTCCGTTTAGGGCATACTGCTTGCGTAGTTCATGCTGAGTTTTTAGAGGTGGAAGTTATAGCTACAGTCCAGCTGATATCGTAGTCGTTCTGCTGGTATGAGTGTTAAGGGGCGTGTTGTCGTTCGAAGGATTCGTCGCTTAGGTTACGTCCACATTGCTGGGTTACGGAAATGACGGCGGTCGCCATATTTGCTGTTTGTTGTTCGTGGGTGCAGGCCCCACGGTGTCGTCTGCTACTAACGGAGGGCGCGAAACGGTTGGGGCTGCATAGACTCAACTCTGCAAAGGGTGAACATGAATGGTTGTTAGAAGAAAATCTTATTAATAAGGCGCTTTTCGAACGTTATAACACTAATGGAGGTCAGGTTTATAAACTACGGTAATAAGGGAAGATGCTGATTAATAGAAATATTTCAAAGTGGTTGAGGTGTAACACTTGAATAGTGTGAGAATACAGAAACCAATTTATCTAACAAAATGCGATCCATCGAAAGAAGATTATGCGAGCTGGTACGAAACATGCGACAAAATAAAAGTAATTAGCGATACACTAAATTATTATTACTATATATTATACATATAGACACTTATGAAAACGTATAAGTTAGTCGTTATACAGGGTTGGTTTTAGACATTGCGTTCTAGTTAGGGTATCGATGTTTCAATATGTACAAAAGAAGTAAGGGTCCCAAAAAAGCTTGAAAAAATGTACAGAAAAGGCCCATTAGCCCGTAGCTTGACTCGCATATATACGGATATATTCGGATTGTAGTATTATTCCACGAAATTATATTAGATAAATGTTAGCTTAGCGTAATGAACAATATTTTTTAGATTGAAGATGAAGTAGACAGAGAAATATGACGCTTCTTAATATATTTAATCTTTTTTTTTTTGTCGACGGAGACGCTGTATCCATATAATATAAGGGTGCACTACGTCACAAGCTGGTTATTTCCATCTGAATGTGTTTGCACCAGCCAATTTTCTAATCTGATAAAATTGCACAGATTAGATAGAGTTCGAGAAGGTATGGAACCATCCATGCAACCGGCACCGGCAGTAAGATACATATCGCTTAAGTTTAGATGAGTCTGTCTTATCTTACGATGATAATAAAATATCACAAAAATGCGGATGTCTACTAGTACGAGCTTAGGCAATGCTCAACATTTGCGAAACGTGATATTGTGATTTGCGTAGCGGAACAACGATATCATCCGCGGGTCTCCTGCCGCCTTCATTAAGACAATCTTAAAAAGATATTATTATGATGTTTGATTTATTATTATGATGATAATGATGTTTAATATTATTAAAAATACGCTATAAAAAAAAAACTGCGGCTAAACAATAATTTGAATAAACGCTCATACAAATAAACAACTTAAGGGAGTCGGCCCACCATAAAACTGTCTCTCCTTATGACTTATAAATCTATTGAAGATGTATAGACATTATCTGGGTTTAATTTCTACGTGCGTCGAATATTCGCTTATGAGTTCGGCGTGTTCACTTTTACGTTAAGAGCATTTTTCAATCTTCATATTTATCACAGCCCCATTTTAGAAAAAATAAGCTGATTAATAACAACGATATGATTTAGATAAGAGTTTTAGGTATCAAGGTTATACAATGTACGCACTGCTAGATTATTTTATCATTCGTGTTATTGAAGTGGCCGTTAAAAATTGCCGTCTAACGAATTTTGCGTTCTACGATTTCGCTTTACTAGCCTAGGAAGTAGCGACCATGTCGATCGAATAGCTGAGGCAAAAGTATGGGTTTCCGCAGCCACTGCGGTTTACGCCGACAGCGCGCGCTATCTTAAACTATCGACGCAGTAAAAACAGCGACAAAATATCTGATCGCCAAAGAGTGTCCCTCCGCTTTTTCCACCTTTTCAGACAGGTTCCGAATATTTATCGTATGCGAGTCGTCAGGATCTGCTTGGTTTTAGCCGGAAGAAGAGTTACGGTTCTACATTAGAGCAGTATAATTCGCTGGCAGCTATTTGGCGGCACGAAAAAAATTGTGTTTCATGAGAGTTCGGACAAACACTGGCCAGTATAGGAGAACATCGGTATTTTGACAGAAACCGTGCACGGATCGTTGACCGAATCATAGGATGTTGTTGTTGTTGTTGTAGAGTCAACTATGACTGATGATTGATAATAGCAATGATCATTGAGTAAGTGATAATATAGTTGGCTATTATTATTATTATTATAGGTTTCATCTCGTACTGGAAAATTCGACCACGATAACGCCGTTTGATAGCGTCTCATTGTCAATGCATTTATATACAGATTTAAATAATTTGGCGTATCCTATTCTCTGCCTGGAAGTTCGGGTGAGATTACCGCTGTTGTCATGTCATACCGCTTCGACCCGGGTCCTGCGCAATGCAGACTTAGTATTTAACCGAGACAACCATCTCGAACGTCGAATATTATCGAACAGCGGATCAAACTAAAGGTTCTTGTTAGAGTAAGGACTTCGCAAAAGATAGACGCCTGATAAAATATCAGTTATTGAAATGGCTTCAAAACGAGCCTTACTGACCAGCTAAGCTTTTCTAGTCCTCTATGATGTGCCAACAATGCAAAACTTGTTTCCTCAAAAACTATCTAGGTATTTGGGTTTTTACAACACTAAAACACGAAACTACCGTTCTCTGATTTCCTACGCAACAATCGCTTCAACTCTTACGGTGACGAACAAACTCAGTCGAATTAATAGTATGAAAAATATTTGTCCGACGAAAAGGTAGCTCAAACCAAAATCGATTGATCTATTTTCGTTCTACCTTTGTGAGGTTCAGATGTCCTTATATATTCAAGTTCATAGACACTATTCACTACGCTACTTTTTCAGACGGCGTGTGCAATCTTCACCAGAGCACCTATGTAATCACGAAGCAAACTTGTGCTTCGAAGAATTATTTACAATTTCTCTACTGTTATAAACATATACGGTTGAGCAATATAATAATCCTTTGGTTGCAATCCGCAATGCCATCTGGTCGTAGGTATCTTATATGATAATAGCACGGACCATAAGGCGCCATCTTGTCAGAACACTGTTGAAAGGCGTAGTGAAGGTGCAGGCACAACGATGCTAATATTCTGAAGATAATCACATTACCTTATGTAAGGGCCAGTTCAGACAGCGATACTTGACAAGTGTGCTTGATTGGATCATATTCATAAACAAGGTGATTTTAACTTGTCTTTGAAGCTAACATTGAGGAAAATGCAGCCTAAATTGTTTTTCTCGGAAGTCAACTGTATACTTACGAATGTTTGCTAATAAAGTAAGCGTGGCAAGCTTAACTTATCTGTCACGTCGCAAAATTGCCAAGGATGCGAACGTATATTAGGATCCATGTAGCTAATGCTATTTCTCTGATTTTAACAAGCTACATTTTTATCGTTTCCGTTTTTGGTATCTTTTTTTTTGTGTCTTTAAGAATATGTCAGTTGAAAAAATACGTTGTTTCCATTCAGCGAGTGAGGCACTAATTCTGCGTGCCTGTTGTCTTTCGCACATTTCATATGCCAACAAAAGTTCTATAGCGCTTGATCATGGAGTACACCAAGCTACAAGTTGGCAACGCATAATATCAAACGACGGTTATTTATACCGTCCGTGACTGAGAATACGACACTCAATATCTTTCCATACTGTGCACGCGATTTATTTTCCTCAACTGACTAGCCTCAATTTGTCAGCGGAGCTTACCCGATGTTTCGGCCCACTCCACTCAAATTCCTAGTCTTCAATCGATTCGCGTCGCGCCGGCAGCGGCAACAACAATAGCGCTGGCGACTTACTCAGAGACGACGTTGAGATTCGACAAAAGAAGCCCTGAGAAAATCTGCTTGTTCCCAGTATACTGGCCCCGAACTTCTTAGCTCAGTCAAGCTTCTCTTTGTTCCGCACAGGAGAATAAGTTGAACAGTAAGGGTCATCTTCAGCTTTAGTCGTGCATTCCCCTGACAAGTAGACCGATCCGGCAGGAATTCACCCTGAAGATTCATGCTCTACGCCGACGTTTAGCGAGGCAAAGAAGGGGCGGAGGAGCGTACTGACACCACCCGGTTTCGATTATTCTTGTCCTATGCTTAGCCCCCCAGCCTTCGTCTCATGTCACATACCCACGACGTTTAGATCTTACCTTGTCCTTAGAGCGTTTTTCTTAGCGATTCAGCTGGGTTTTGCCACTCCGACTCAGCCAACAACAGCAGTAATAGTAGCCACTTCGTTTTCCTCTAAGCAAGATACAGAGAGATAAAGGAGTAAGTAAGTAAAAGTCTAAAGAATCTTACATCGCCATCTGGATGACCGGGTAACTGCAGGGGGGCAGAACGCTCTTCACAAAGTGAATAGTGATCATCAGAGATCGGGCGCATCATCATCGACTCTTTTTTCCTCTCTATTCGCTTTTAGCTTCCCATTTTTCCGGGGGTAATCCGCGAGTTCTTCGGCTGGGCCAGCATTGGTCGGTTGGGTCGTTGTCATTTATGTTGCGTTTTCAACCTCTTTATTTACGTTCCTGCTTTGGTTGGATGCGTCTTTACCTCAAACAGCCAATGCAACGACCTTAAGCTGTGCACTCTCCCCAGTCCGTCTAAACCGGTGGGTTCCTCAATAAGAGACAGGACGAGCTTTTTCGTGGATATTTCCCAGCGCCCCCTTCTATAGGTCTTCGTTTCTTCAGCACGGAACCGCCTGTGGAAGACGATGTGGACATTTTTTCGCTGGCAGCGGCGCCGCAATTGCAAATGGTATTGCAATTGAGATGGTCTATCCGAGCAGGGGCTGGACGCGAAGAGCAAATCGGCTTCGGGCGAGACGTAGCTCGTGGCTGGGAAGTTTATGATATATACAGCGAGCTATAGCACTATGGCCCATGCGAGTGTCGGAATAGTCGACGGTCTGCTATTTCAGAGAGCGGTGTGCGACATGATGAAGCACAGTCTGCCTTTAAGCCGTAAGTAAAGTGTAAAAGAAGTTCTGTTTTGCGAGTGGCTACAGCTGATTATCACTGCGTGTTCACATAGCTAAAACTTCAATTTATATAGGAGAGCTGGAAAAAACAATCACCGAATATTATATCTAATTCAAAATTGATTTCAACGCGATTTCCCTTAACTTTAGTTATCGATCAGTGCTAACGTACTCAGAAACGTGTTGAGGACGCACTTTGTTGCGGTTACATGCACAAACAAGGTGTCTTTTTAAAGCCAAACTATTTTTTAAAATTTTCAGAAATAGATCCTATGTCTTTCTTTGATTTTTTTATAACTTCACTAAAACCGACCTTTCAGGATGTGAGAGATATAACAGCTAGTGTTCGAGCGATCCAAGTCGCCAGAGTCGTTACCAGTTTCGATGCTGGTAACGAAAAAGGAAGGGATATTTGAAATTCCCCTTTCCATCCTAATCAACCAGGAATCTTGCCTGTGGCACTATTACCGCGTGAAGGTGATGCTGCGGTCCTTCTTTTCGCAAAGTTAGCAGAGAGTCTCCAGTAACAGGTCCCTCTACCGCCCGCCGAATACCAGTCAGCGCGTCATCGAGATAAATGCCGTTAATCTCCTTTATCGGAGACGCCCTGCTACGGTGAGTGTTTTTGTTTGTTTCGCTACGTCTAAAGCAAGTGGGGTTTCAAGAATGCGGCTCCTGCTGAGCAGCGGTTTGCCGGCCCGTTCTATTTACGAAGTCTGAGGTACCCCTAGGGAATAGCAAACAGCTTGCTCTGACAAAGTCATCATGAAAAGCTCAGACTTTCGCTACTAGCATTCTCTCATTCGCCATTGGTGTTTTCGATTCAGGACCCGTCTGTCCACCCAGACTACCCTGCCTACTGATTAAAGACAGAGCGAGCGAACGTAGGACAAAAAGGGATGAACTGTCGAACGTAAGGGATCAACCGCGATGGATTTTGTCGTTTCGTCCCATAACGAGGCGTGGGAACGTTGACCTAGCTTAGTTTCTCCATGTTAGCTTATGATCAAGATTGCGATCGCTGCTGTCACTCTCGTCTTGTTCAAAAGTGTCATTGGCACGCATCCCATTTTGGGTTTTTAGCTGTGCGTCTTCCGGATGCCCTTCGAACGCCTGCCTGAATGACAGCCGCTCTAAAACGCCATCTCTAAACCTCTCTATACCGTCCGCTCGATCTCATCTATCCCATACCGCCTTCAACAACAGTT